CAACAGCAATGCACCAAAAGATAACCAGCAGCGACTCAAGAAAACCAGTTAAAATTCCTAGCAATACCAATAGCAACACAAACAACTAGTAATTGACCCCAAACAGCTCGACAGAAACCAAACATCAGTCAAAACACAAGCAAAAACACCCCTTAGAATTCAGCAGCCAAGAAAAACTCGAAAATATAACTCCATAGTTAAAGCTGAAGCTCTTTTCAGTGTCAATTGGGTAGAACTAGTTGAACTAGACTAACTCTTGAAATTCTCCTCCAGTTTTTCAGAATCTTCCCTCCCAATTTTCCAGAAATGTTCCTAACTGATTAAAAACTCTCCAAAGTGATCTCTGAAACTTGAAGCAGAGAATTTTAAAACTGCTTATGATTCTCAGGCAGTTGGACTATTGGCTGAGACTTTGACAAGTTAATTAAGGTAAATGAAATAGTGAAAGCTCCCTCCCTCTCTTCCTTCCCGGTCTGTCCAAAAAGAAGAACTAAGACCACCATTTATACCCAAACTTCAGCCCCTTTCCAACTCTAAAGAGCACTTAGCTCATTAAGAAAATATTTTCTGCCCGCTACTACATGTTTTGTTTTAATTCACTTGTTCCCCACTAGAGTATGTTTTTCCCATTATCCCTTGTCCTTCCCTTTATTTAATTGTTCAAACATGTATGGGCAACATTTTATAATCATTCCCCTTTTAAGCCTTTCATACCATTATGTTTTGTTCCCCATTAACACTAAACAATTGCATTAGTTTAATGGTACTTTAGTACCCTACTGTCAGCCCATTCATCTTAAGCTATTTTCAAACCTTTTAAACCCCAAAATACCCTCCTAAAGCCCCCTGAAATTACTGTCCTACCCAATCCCTTAATTTGTACCAAATCCATCAGCTATAACCAATTCAACTAAGTTAGAAATCCTAACAATTGACTAACTAAACACATGAAACTAACTCCCAATCAACAATAATAGGACAATTCAACAAAGCCAGATTCATATCAGAATACACTTAACAGAACAAACAAGTAGATCCGAGTCATTAAACTTAATCAGCAATTTAAGCTTGAAACTCAATTCAGACCAAATACCATAAAAATAAAGATTCAGTGATTAAACTAACACACTTCTAGATTAAACCTAAACAAGAATAAATGAACATTGTCAACATACTAAATGAACCAAAAATTAAACTATTATCATGCTAATCTAACACTCAAGCATACCAGACTAATCGACGACACTTATTCAATCGATTACACAAATTATAACATATAACAATCGACAACAAACAGAAGCAATGATAAAATTGGACCAAATAAAAGGTCTGATTGGAGAAAGAAAAAAGTAATCGATAAAAGATGAATTTGAACTCATCTTAAATAAAGAAACAACGAAACATAAAAAACAAATAGGAAAACAGAAGAAATACCTCCGAACTCAGAAACTGGAAGACCCTGACTTGGACTCTGACTCGGACCTTTAATTGAGGTCGAATGGACCTTAATCGAGTGTTCTCAACTGAGAACACTTCGACTAAGGTCACCTGGACACCCAACTTCCTTCAATTTGGACAGATTTCAACCTTTGGTTTCTAGGGTTCTTGGGGGTTCGATTTGGGGTTCGAACGGTTTTAGCCTGATTCGAACCAAACCAAAGGTGGTTTGGTAACGAGGGAGGTCTGGGGGCGTCATGGTGTGATTTTGGGGCCGGTTGGGGTAGTTTCAAGTTTTGCTCGAATCTTCGATTGAAGATTCGAGAATCTACAGGCTGATTCGAACAAAACGGGTAAGGGACGTGGGAGAGGGTGGTTAGGTGCTCTAGGGGTGTTAGTTTCATGGTCATCGGCGTTGTTGCCGCCGGGTTTACGGCGAAGGGATTTGGTGGCGGCTAGGGTTTGGNGGTATAGCTTAGGGGGGTGCGAGGTGAGAGGTTGGACTTATATACGGAAGGGGGTGGTTTAATCCTGGCCGTTGGATCAAGCACGATCAACGGCCTGGATCAATTCACTTAAAGGAAACAGTGACGTTTGGTCATGCCTCCAGACTGGGTCGATCCGGGCTGAAATGGACCGGGTTATGGGGGAAGCCTAGGGCCGTTAGATCAAAACAAATCAATGGCTTGGATTTATTGGCCAGATACGACATCGTTTGGATATATATGGAGACGGACTGGACCGTTTGATCGTATGATATTGACGGTCCAGTTCACAATGCCCAAACGACGTCGTTCTGGACTGGTCGCAGGTGGACTGGATTTGGGGCGGGTGTGGGCTGGTCTTTTGTATTTGGGCTTGGCCACATTGGCCCAACCGAATTTTCCTCTTCTTATTATTTTTTCCTTTCATTTTTTTTAATTCCTAAAAACCAAAATTCCTAAATTAAATTGTAAAACCAAGATTATTTTAAAAAGATATTAATTAACCTTTCACAATAATTAACACACAAAATCAAATATTGATTAAAAAAAATCACACAATTAAACAATAAAAATGACAAAGCTACCAAAATTCATATTTTTGTGATTTTCATTCTTTAAAATAGGATGTGGTTTAATTAATTCAAAAATACACAATTAAATCCTAAATATGCATGCAACATGTATTTTGGTATTTTTTGATTAATTAAAACAAGATAAACATTCGCAGACAAAAATAATTATCCAAAATGTCACGCAAAATTCTCAAAATTGTCCCCAAAGGCAATTTGTTTTATTTTCAATTTCTTTTGGAATAGTCTTCGTGAAGCAAAAATCACGTGCTCACAGTAGGCACGGCCTTCCACGTGGTCACCATCCAAGTCTCCATCCTCCTCTAAGATCTCTACCCTCAACACATTGTATACCTTCAAGGGTCTTCTATCATTGTCTTCTAATGTTTCCAAGATATCCTAATGCTTGGTGAAGAGGTGAAATCTCTTAGTTCCTTGGCTTGAGATCTTGTGAATAACCTAGATACCATTGTTGTTCCTTGAGGTGTATTATTCTACCCTTCTTGAGAAGCATTTTTCCTCAAATGTGGATCATCATAATCACCTACAACACAAGGAAGCAAGTCACTAATATTGAAAACATTATGAACTTCATACGCACTTGGCAAGTCTATCTTTTAGGCATTATCATTGATCTTCTCCAACACTTAGTAAGGGGCCTACTCCTCTAGGCATAAGCTTTCCTTTCCTTTTTCTTGGAAATCTATCCTTTTAGGTGTACCCACACCCAATCACCGGGTTGAAGGATCACTTCTTCCTTCCTTTGTTCTTTTTACTAGCTACTTGTTGATATTTCTCCTCAAGTTGTGCCTTGACCCTCTAATGAATTTTCTTCATGGTATTTTTGTGCGTCTAAATCAACAACAACATCTTGGGAAAGAGGATTAAAATCCAAAGGAGTCAAAGGATTAAAACCATATACAATCTGAAAAGGTGTCATGCAAGTAGAAGAATGCAAAGATCTATTATAAGCAAATTCAACCAAAGGCAATTGTTCTTCCCAAGATGTGTACTTCCCATTCACTATAGCCCTCAACATGTTCCCTAATGATCTATTGACTATCTCGGTTTGAACATCCGTTTGGGAGTGACAAGAAGTAGAAAACAACAAATAAGTACCCAATTTTCCCCACAAACTCCTCCAAAAGTTACTCAAGAATCTAGAATCTCTATCACTCACTATGGTTCTTGGTACACCATGCAACTTAAGCACATTCTCAACAAACAAAGTAGCAACATGACTAGCATTATCACTCTTGTGGCAAGGAATAAAATGTGCCATCGTAGAAACCCTATCTACCACCATAGATATGCTATCTCTACCCTTTTCTAGTACTAGGCAACCCTATCACAAAATCCATAGAAATGTCTATCCAAGGTACATAGAGATGGGCAAAGGTGTATACAATCCATGGGGGTATGTCCTAGATTTAGCACTTACACACTCAAGGCATTGACTACAAATATTCTCTACATCACGCTTCGTCTTAGGCCAATGGAAATTCTCCTTCAAAATGTCTAAGGTCTTTGATACTCCAAAATGACCCATAAGACATCCACTATGTGCCTCCTTAACTAACAACTCTCTCCAAGATGACTTAGGAACACACAATCGATTTCCTCTAAACAAGAACCCATCAAACTTATGAAACCTCATCAACTTTTCATCCTCCAAATCACTAGGTCTCCTAAATTATCCCACTTGATCACACCTAGCATAGGCTTCTTTAAAGTCATCATCTAGCTGGTACATTTCTTTCATACTCTCAAAACCCATCAACCTAGAGGTAAGGGTATTTATCAAAGAATATCGTCTAGACAAAGCATCGACAACCACATTATCCTTCCCTTGTTTATAGTGGATAACATATGGAAAGGTTTCTATGAATTCCACCCACTTAGCATGCCTCTTGTTCAACTTACCTTGGCTCTTAATATGTTTAAGAGACTCATGGTCGGTTCTAATCACAAACGCCTCGGGGCAAAGATAGCGTTGCCAATTGGTCAAAGCTCTCACTAAAGAAAACAACTCCTTATCATATGTGGAATAGTTCAAGCTAGATCCCTTAAATTTCTCACTAAAGTATGCTATAGGTTTTTGGTCTTGCATGGCATGGCTCTTATTCCTAACCCACTAGCATCACATTCAATCTCAAAGGTCTTTTCAAAATTAGGGAGTTGCAAAAGAGGTGCGGAACTAAGCTTCTCCTTCAAAATCCTAAAAGATTCCTCTTGGTTCTCTCCCCAATAGAAGGGTTTGTCTTTCCTAATCACCTCGATCAATGGACTAGCTATGGTACTAAAATCCTTAACAAATCTCCTATAGAAACTGGCTAGACCATGGAAACTCCTAATGTCACTAATGCTCTTAAGTGTTGGTCAATTCTAATTGCCTCAACTCTACTCTCATCTACTTCCAAACCATGAGCACCCACCACAAATCCTAATAAAACAACCTTATCAACAAAAAATGCACATTTCTTAAGATTAGTGTATAGTTGCTCATGTCTCAACACATCAAAAATTTGATCAAATGGTAGACATGATCATCAAGAGACATGCTATAAACCAAAATATCATCAAAGTAGACAACAACAAACTTGTTAATGAACGGTTTAAGCACATGATTCATAAGTCTCATAAAAGTACTTGGGGCATTTGTCAAACCAAATGGAATAAAGAGCCATTCATATAAACCATACTTAGTCTTGAATTTCGTTTTCCACTCATCCCTCGGTTTCATCCTAATTTGATGATAACCACTCCTCAAATTGATTTTAGAAAATATGCACGCACCACTAAGCTCATCCAACATATCATCTATGCGAAGAATAGGGTGGTGGTGCTTTACTATGATCTTGTTAATCGCATGACAATCCACACACATTCTCCAAGTGCCATCCTTCTTTGGAACAAGATTAACCGGAACGACACAAGGACTTAAGCTTTCTTTTACCAATCCTTTGTCAAGCAATGCCTTTACTTGACTTTGTAGCTCCTTTTTTTCTTCCGGGTTACTCCTATATGCCACCTTGTTTGGAATTTTAGAACCCGGGATAAAGTCAATTTGATGCTCTATTCCCCTCAAAAGTGGCAATCCTTTTGGAAGTTCTTCCGGGAACACATCTTCATAATCTAGCAAAAGAGAAAAAACAACACTAGGCAAGGAATATGTTAGAGTGTTAGTAGATAAGACAATCTTTGTGAATAATACAAACAATAGGCATATATTCCTCTAGATCTCTGGGGAAAGTGCTTGTTGAACAATGCCATGCACAACACCGCAACGGTATATTCTTTATTTCCTTTGCTATTTCTTCTATTTTTGTTTGAAAATATCTTGAGTTTGCCCCTCTTATTTTGTAGGCCAACTTTCTTGCTTCAGAGGGCCTTCAAAGGTTAATTCGGGAAAAGGAGGAACTTACCTCCGAGAGGGATCAACTTTTGGTCGAGCGGGAGCAAGCCGTTGCTGCCTCTTAGAACTTGAAACCAAAACTGCTAAGGCCGTTGTGTTAGAGTCTTGTTTGTAGAAAAGCGAGCAAGAAGTGGAGACCCTTAGCCAAGAGATCGCCCCGTTGAGGGTTCAATTTTAAGAGGCTAAGGCCAAATGGTCTGAAGTTCATAATGTCGTTCTTGCTGCATCTGATCGTGAGGCTGCTTCCGCTGAAAGATTGATCAGTTTAGAGGCAGAAAACCCTTGTCAATTTGATACCGAAATTGCTAAGGCCGTGAGCTTGAGTTAGCTACTAAAAGTGGTCTCCTGGCAAAGCCAGATGCTTCCGGTTCTAAAACTTCGAGAACTGAAGAGGAAATGGAAGGCGAAGATGTTGAAGGCCAAAATGTTGAGCCATCGGCAGATCTACCCACTTTTTCTAGGGCACGAACACTTCTCTTCCTCCGGGTTCTAGAGATGCAGCAGTTTAGCTTTTTTTTTTCTTTTCCAACTTTTGAATCTATGCCGCTTTGGCATATTATTGTAAATAAAGACATCTTTTTGCTCAAGTATTGTTTGAGTCTTTCTTTCGTTTGAACATTTATGCAAGTTTTGCATTCTTTTTTTTCTTTTACTTTAGTGTTTTGCGCAAGTTTTATTGTTTGCGTATTTTTACATAAAACCTTGGGGTGTGTTTTCCCCCAAAAGCATTTGGATTTTGGGCACAAATTCGCTCGAAATCAACCCTTTGATGTGAGGGTTTTCATAAATATTTGCGCAAGTTTGCTTTTTGTGTCTTTTTATGCAAGGCTTTGGGTGTATTTTTCCCAAAGGCATTTTGATTCGGGGCATAAGTTCTTCCGAAATCAACCCTTTAGCGTGAGAGTTTTCATAAGAGAGGGCCCTCTTATGTTTACGGTACTCTTGAAGAGGATGTCTCCTGTTCATTACGGCACTAGCATTTGAAGTGCTTGTTTAACTTTAAAATAATAAAATCAATTCATCGATCAGACAAGAAACAAGATGGAAAATAAAAGGACTTTATTTTATTCCTTTCGTTTTCAAAAAGTACATAAGCACTCATTATGCTAAAAGGAAATTGCCATTTCTTGTGGCTAATTCGTACAACTTGTTTATACAGGGCTAGTCGCGTTGTCTCCAGTCCCAATTATACAACTATGTTCCCTGTTTTCGTGCTCCGGTCAATGTGGCAGACATTATTGTCATATTCTCATATTATTGCCTCAGTGTCCGAATACGAATTAGAACACTGGGAATTGTACCTTTGAAGATCCCATTAATGAATTGCTAGAAAATCCTCAGCTCGGTAACAAACTTTGCTTCCCCTTAGAAATTTATGCTATCGAACAAAAGACTATCTAACAATCCTCTAGTGGTTTGCACTTGTGAAATGTCGGGTAACCGTTGCTTGATAGCAAATTTACTTTCCCGACGGGAATTTTTCTATCGAGCCAAAGATTATCTAATTGTCCTAGAGTAGTTCTTTGCTTGTATGCCTTGCTATTAAAGGTCTTATTGCTGCTGTTGAAACTTTCTTCGTGGTATGATTTTCGCTATTGCCTCGTTAAAAACCTTGCCATAAAAAACCAATTGGGACAAAAACTGGACAAAGGAAAAAAGAGTGCAACACATACTTCCAGTTGCTTGACAACTTTTCTCCATCCTAATTCTCCAACTCGTATGAACCTTTTCTGGTGACAGTTGAAATCCGGTAGGGGCCTTCCCATGTTGGACCTAGCTCCCCTGCATTGAGCTCCCGGGTGTTTTTAGTTACTTTCCTTAGGACCAAGTCTCTTACTTTGAAATAACGAAGGTTGTCTCTTTGATTGTAATATTGTTTTATTCTCTGCTTTTTGTTTGCCATTCTTACATGTGCCAAGTCCATATGATCATCGAGTAGATCCAAGTTGATTAACATTGCTTCGTTGTTTGACTCTTCATTTACTTGGAAATACCTCAAGGTGGGATCCTCGACTTCTATCGGGATTAAGGCTTCTGCTCCGTACACCAGGGAAAAAGGAGTTTCTCATGTGCTCAATTTGGCCGTTGTTCGATACGCCCATAACACTCCAGGTAGTTCTTCAGGCCATTTTCCGTTGGCCACTTCCAACCTTTTCTTGAGATTTTGTATAATCACTTTGTTCGTTTATTCTACTTGACCATTTGCGCTCGGGTGATAGGGTGAAGATGTGATTCTCTTTATTTTCAAATCTTCAAGAAACTTTGTGATCTTCGCGCCAATAAATTGTGTCCTATTATCGCATGCTATCTCTTTTGGTATTCCAAACCTACAGATTATTTTTTCCTACAATAAATCCACTACCTCACGTTCGTCTATCTTCTAATAAGGACCTGCTTCAACCCACTTAGAAAAATAGTTAGTTAAAATCACAAGAAACCTTACCTTACCAGGAGACGGCAATAGCAATCCAATGATGTCCATTCCCTACTTCATAAATGGCCACAGTGACAGAACTGAGTGTAGTTGTTCAACCATTTGATGTATCAGTAGTGCGTAGCATTAACACTTATCGCATTTTTTACGAAAGCTTTGGCATTTTGTTCCATGCGGGAGCCAATAATATCCTGCCCTTACCAGTTTTAGCACTAAAGAATATACGCCCAAATGGTTTCCGTATATCCCTTCGTGGACTTCTCGCATAACATAATTAGCTTCGGATGCTCCCAAACATCGGGCCAGCGGGTCTTGGAAAGATTTTTTGTACAGTTGGCCTCCTTTGAAGCTATACCGTGCTACTTTGGTGCGTAGCTCTTAGGATGCCTTAGAATCTTTGGGCAACTTCATGTGCTTGATATAATCGATGATCTCATTCCTCTAGTCCCAGGCCAAATTAGTCGTATTTACCTCATAATGGTTATCTGCATCCAGGACCGAGTGTATGAGTTGTACTACCATCTCGAAATCTAATTCCTTCATTTTTGTTGATGAACCAAGGTTAGCCAGTGCATCCTCTTCTGCATTTTCTTCCCTAGGGATATGAGTAAGTGACCACTCCCGAAATCAATCCAACAAAGCTGGACCTTTACTACGTATTGCTGCATGCGCTCCTCTTTGGCTTCGAAGATCCCGTAGACCTGATTTACCACCAGCTGGGAGTCACATTTGATTTCTGTGACCTCAGAATCTAGTCTCTGTGCCAATTCGAGTCCTGCAATTAAAGCCTCATATTCTACTTTATTGTTAGTTAAATGGACCGTTCGGATAGATTACCTCAGGGTTTCTCTCGAAGGCGTGATTAATACTACGCCAAGCCCAGACCCTTTTACGTTGGAGGCTCCATACGTAAATAAGTTCCCAACTTCTTGTGTTGGTTCTAACACAATTACTGTTTCTTTGGTCACTAGAGGTAGTAATCTCGAATTGAAATGGTCCATAAAGTCGGAAAAAACTTATGATTTAATCTTAGTCCTTGGTTTATATTCTATGTCGAATTCACTCATTTCAGCGGACCATTTGGCCAACCTACCCAAGAGTTTGGGTTTGTGAAGGATGATCCACAGGGGAAATGTGGTCACCGTAGCCGGGTGACATTGGAAGTAAGGCCTCAGCTTTCAAGTGGGGACTACAAGAGCTAAGGCCAGCTTCTCCAAATGTTAGTAGCGAGTTTTTGCTCCTATTAAAATTTTACTAACCTAATAAATGGGAGATTGCATACCTTCGTCCTCACAGACTAAAACTGTACTTATCGCTACTTCCGAGATTGCAAGGTAGACCAACAGTGTTTCACCTTTTTCAATTTTGAAAGTAACGGAGGGCTTGACAAGTATCTTTTCAAATATTTCAAAGCATGTTGACATTCCAGGGTCCATTAGAAATTGTTTTTCTTTTTGAGCAGTGCAAAGAAACAGTGGCATTTCTCTGACGACCGGGAAATGAACCTGCTCAAAATGGCCAATCTCCCCATGAGCCTTTGGACTTCTTTCACGCTCGACAGTCGGTCCAGGATGTCTTTGATGGCTTTGATCTTATCAGGGTTTACCTCAATCCCCCTTTGTGATACCATAAATCCTAGGAACTTGCCGGAGCTGACCCTGAACGCGCACTTCTTGGGGTTAAGCTTCATGTTATGTTTCCTTAGGATGTCAAAAGTTTCTTGCAGATGCTTAAGCTGATCATTTGCGTTCAAATACTTAACGAGCATATCATTTATATAAACTTCCATAGTTTTCTCTATTTGTTTTCGAACATCATGTTTACGAGCCGCTAATAAGTGACTCCGGCATTCTTCAACCCGAAGGTCATCACATTATAGCAATATGTGTCAAAATTTGCTATGAACGGAGTCTTGTCCTAATCCTACAGGTTCATATTAATTAGGTTGCACCCGGAATAAGCATCGAGGAAACTCATTAACTCATGCCCAACTCATGCCCGACTGTCGCATCAAACCTTTGAAGTTATATCGTGCTGCTTTGGTGCGTAGCGCTCAGGATGCCTTGGAATCTTCGGGCAACTTCATGTGCTTGAGATAATCGATGATCTCATTCCTCTAGTCCCAGGCCAAATTAGTTGTATTTACCTCGTAATGTTTATCCGCATCCAGGACCAAGTGCATGAGTTGTACTACCGTCTCGGAATCTAATTCCTTCATTTTCGTTAATGAACCAAGGTTATCCAGTGTATCCTCTTCTACATTTTCTTCCCTCGGGATATGAGTAAGCAACCACTCCCTAAATCAATCCAACAAAGCCTGGACCTTTACTACGTATTGCTGCATGCGCTCCTCTTTGGTTTCGAAGATCCTGTAGACCTGATTTACCACCAGCTGGGAGTCACATTTGATTTTTATGACCTCAGAATCTAGTCTCTGTTCCAATTCGAGTCCTGCAATTAATGCCTCATACTCTACTTCATTGTTAGTTAATTGGATCGTTCTGATAGCTTGCCTCAAGGTTTCTCCCGAAGGCGTGATTAATACTACGCCGAGCCCGAACCCCTTTACGTTGGAGGCTCCATCCGTAAATTAGGTCCAAACTCCTTGTGCCGATTCTAACACAATTGCTGCTTCTTTGGTCGCTAGATGCAGCAATCTCGAACTGAAATGGTCCATAAATTCGGTCAAAACTTGTGATTTAATCTCAGTCTTTAGTTTATATTCTATGTCGAATTCACTCAGTTCGGCGGACCATTTGGTCAACCTACCCATTAAAATTTCATACCTTCTTCCTCACAGACTAAAATCACACTTATCGCTACTTCCGAGACTGTAAGGTAGACCAGCAATGTTTCACTTTCTTCGATTTTGAAAGTAACGGAGGGCTTGACAAGTATCTTCTCAAATCTTTCAAAACCTGTTGACATTCTGGGGTCCAATATAACAACAACAACAACAACAACAACAACAAACCCAGTTTAATCCTAACAGGTGGGATCTGGGGAAGGTAGTCTGTACGCAGACCTTACCCCTACCTAATGCAGGTAGAGAGGCTGCTTCCAACATACCCTCGGCACAGGAAGGACAAGAAGAAGAAGTGGAAAGCAAGGAAGGAAGAGAAAAGAAAAGGGAGGGATAAAGGATAAGTAGTACCAAATAATAGCAGCAGGGAATACAATACCTGAGGCGAACACAACCACATAAAGTAATAGAAATCTAAGAATATGAAGGGACATCCATGCTACTAAGACTATCGGTGAACAACTATAAACTACCTACTAACCTTCTACCTTAATCCTCGACCTTTACATCCTCCTATCAAGGGTCATGTCCTCAATGAGCTGAAACAGTGCCATGTCGTGTCTAATCACCTCTCCCCAGTACTTCTTAGGCCTACCTCGACCTCTTCTCAAACTCTCCATGGCCAACTGTTCACACCTCCTGATAGGAGCATCAATTCTTCTTCTCTTAACATGTCCTAACCATCTCAGCCTCGACTCCCGCATCTTGTCCTCCACGGAGGCTACTCCCACTCTGTCCCGGATAGCTTAATTATTAATCCTATCTCTCCTGGTACACCCACACATCTATCTCAACATCCTCATCTCTGCTACTCTCATCTTTTGCAGGTGGGAGGTTTTGACTGGCCAACACTCAACCTCATATAGTATAGCCGGTCGAACCACCACTCGATAAAACTTAACCTTAAGTCTTAGCGGCACATTCCTATCACACAAAACACTGGAAGCGAGCCTCCACTTCATCCATTCCTCTCCGATGCGATGTGCGACATCTTTATCAATCTCCCCGTTACCCTGGATAATAGACCTGAGATACTTAAAACTCGCTCTCTTGGGGATAACTATAGAAATTGTTTTTCTTTTTGAACAGTGCAAAGAAACGGTGGTATTTCTATGACGATCGGGAAATGAACCTGCTCAAAATGGTCAATCTCCTCAAGAGCCTTTGGACTTCTTTCACGCTTGATAGCCGGTCTGGGATGTCTTCGATGGCTTTGATATTATCGGGGTTTACCTCAATCCCCCTTTGTGATACCATAAATCCTAGGAACTTGTCGGAGCTGACCCCGAACGTGCACTTCTCGGGGTTAAGCTTCATGTTATGCTTCCTTAGGATGTCAAAAGTTTCTTGCATATGCTAAAAGTGATCACTTGAGTTCAAAGACTTAACGAGCATATTGTTTATATAAACTTCCATAGTTTTCCCTATTTGTTTTTCGAACATCTTGTTTACGAGCCGCCGATAAGTGGCTCCGGTGTTCTTCAACCCGAAGGTTATCACATTATAGAAATATGTGCCGAAATTTGTTATGAACGAAGTTTTTTCCTAATCCTACGGGTTCATATTAATTTGGTTGTACCCAGAAAAAGCATCGAGGAGACTCATTAACTCATGCCTGATTGTCGCATCAAACATTTGATCGATGTTTGGTAGTGGGAACGAGTCTTTTAAGCACGCCTTATTCAAGTCCTTATAATCTATGGACATGCGAAATTTATTGTTCTTCTTAGGAACTACTACTACATTAGCTAGCCAATTTGGATAATTTACCTCCCGGATTGAACTAATATCAAATAGGCGAGCTACTTCCTCTTTAATGAATTTATTCATGGCCTCCGCAATAGGGCATTTTTGTTGCCTTACCGGAGGAATATTAGGGTCCAAGTTTAACTTTTGAACGACCACTTCCATTGGGATACCTGTCATGTCCACATGAGACCATGCAAAACAATCGACACTATATTTAAGGAATTCGATTAAGCCAGACCAGAGCTCGGGGTGTAGTCCTGTCCCCTAGTAGAATTTCCTTTCTAAGAACTTTTCAAGCAATGCAACTTGATTGAGCTCTTCCGCTCTGGATTTTGTTGCATCTGTCTCTTCTAGTACCTGGAAATATCTCGGCACCTGATAAGTTCTGACGCTTCTTCCTCCTGGATAACTTCATTTGATTCGGGAGCAGACGCCGGTTGTTGTATAGTTGCTATATCGGATGCTCTTTCCCTTTACTACTGGACATCGAAATTGCATTCATCTCCCCTCCTGCTGGTTGATCTCCCCTTATTTGTTTCATTCCTTTGGGCATTGGGAATTTCAGCAACTGATGATACGTTGATAGTACAACTCTCATCTCGTGCAACCATGGTCTTCCAAGAATAATATTATATCCCATATCACCATCCACCACTTCAAAAAGAGTAATCTTTATCACTCCTTTGGTGTTTGTAAGCAGTAAGATCTCTCCTTGGGTTGTCACGCTTGCGAGGTTGAATCCGGAGGGGAATTTTGTGGCCGGAACGATGCTTCCGGTGAGTTTGGCTTGCTTCAATATCCTCTATTGCATGATATTGGCCGAACTCCTTAGATCGCTAGAACATGTTTGATATTAAAGTTTAATAAATTTATAGAATTACCAAGGCATCATTATGCGGTAGCAACAATCCGTCTGTGTCCTCTTCTGTGAAAGTGATATTATCTTCGGCAACTTCCCGGAGCCTCTTGCTATGGGTTATTGATATATTTGTCTTTTTTGCTGCCGAGAAGGTGACCCCGTTGATCTCGTTCCCATCGAAGACCATGTTGATCGTCTGGCATGGGGGATCTTCTCCTACTTTCGAGGGCCCCGCATTGTCACGGTTGCAGCCATAGTTGTTCTTGGCTCGGTCACTTAAGAATTCTTTGAGATGCCTATTCTTCACTAGTGTCGCCACCTCTTCCCGTATATGTCAGTAGTTTCCAGTCCGATGGCCATTCATCCCGTGGTATTCATACCACACGTTGGGATCCCTATGGCTGGGATCAGATCTTATCAGCTTTGGGAACCACACTTCTTTGATGTTTCCCATAGCTGATACCAACTCCACTACATTGACATTGAAATTGTATTCTGATAGCCTGGGGTAGGAAATATCCCGCGTACCTGACGCTTCTTTGTCCTGCAATGATCTGTTGTTCCGACCGCGATTAGTCCTTCTGTCGGTAGCAAACCTATTTGCTAACCAGAAGCCTCTGCCACATACTTCGGTTCGTTCTTAGGGCAACAACTAGGCCCTCAAAGATCGTCTATCTGTGTCGAAATTGTCTTTTAATTTTTCTTATTCTTCTTCTGTCCTTTTGTTGACAACAGAAAGCCGACCTGATCATCTTTGATCCTTAGCTTTGACTCGTATCGATTGTGGACATCCGCCCAAGTTGTCACTTGGAATTCAAGTAAACTTTCCTTTTGTTTTCGGGAAGCGTCTGAACTTCTCGAATTCAACCCCCTGGTGAATGCTTCAGCCATCCATTCATCCGGAACAGCTGGGAGAAACATCCTCTCCTTTTGGAATCTGGTGACAAACTCCCGCAGCAACTCGGATTCTCGTTGTGCAATTCTGAATATGTCAGCCTTTCGGACCTGCACCTTTCTGGGCTCGGCATGAGCCTTAATAAAAGAGTCCATGAGCATCTTAAAGGAATCTATGGAGTGCTCGGGTAATATTGAATATCGTGTCAAGGCTCCCCTCATGAGAGTCTCTCCAAAGTTCTTCAGCAAAATGGATTCAATCTCGGGGGGAGCTAAATCATTCCTGTCATCGCCGTTGTATAGGTGGTAATATGCTCATGAGGGTCTGAAGTTCCATCATACTTCGGCATATCGAACATTTTAAATCGCTTTAGAATTAATTCAACTGTCGTGTTGGGTTTGTACAACAGCTGATTATACTTCTTTGAGTACGACCCTTTCAGCACCGGTGGTGTGCCCGGGATTTGGTCCATACGGGCATTCACTTTCCTCATAAACCGTAAGAGTTCGCTCTTAAAGGGATCGTTCTCATTGTTGGGGCGGGATCCGCTCCCCCCAGCCCCGTCGGAGCCAACCTCGCCCCTCGGGGTATTGTTTTCTACCCTCTGTGTTGCTTGATTTGCGGGAGCACTGAGAGGAACTGAGCCTCATTTATTCACGTTATTGGAAGCCCCCGATAACGCCTGCTTCAATTCCATCATAACTTTATCTTACTGTGTGAGGTGGCCTAGAATAATCGCTTGTTGCTCTTGTAGGACCCTTCCGCATCAACCACATGCTCTTCTTCAACATTATCGGGAGTCGCATCCGGAACATGTCGTTGGTACCGCATGTCGTGGACCGACGAGACATCGTTTCCCTCATTGTGGGTGTCACTGACTGAATCCTCGTGACGAGGCTGATCTCCTTGAACCTCAAAATTGTGCGTGTTGTTAACACCATTGTCTGTCATTTTTTGTGATTTTTGCTAAGACAAACAATCAAAACAGGTTAGTAAAAGAAGCAAGGATCAAGTTAATTGCACGGCTGTCTAGGCCCCATAGTGGGCGCCAAACTGTTTACCCGTAAAACGGTACAGTTGAATTTATACGTGATTTCTAGACAAGTGAATCAATTCGTGAAATAACGGAATAATTGAAGAAATACACAGTACTTAGCCTTGAAACGAAGAGAAAATCGCAGAAACAATAATTCCGGGAGCAAAGCTTTCGAGCACAACAATGATAAAATCAAGGAACAAGAAGATAAAATTGTATAAAACTTTGAATCGTTTATAGCATAAGTTTGCCAGAAAAGTCTCTCCTACAATGATAACAGAGCTCACTATTTATAGCTGCACATAGGGAACAAGGTCCTAGGATCATGCCCTTCTTTAATGTCAATTATGAAGGCCATTGATGAAGGTGTAACGGTGAGCATAAATGACAAGTTCTCTGTAACGGGCAGCACACTAAATGATGTGAAATATTCTCCATTAAATGCCACTGCGTGGAGGGTATTATTGCATCATTACGAGTGTCATTCTTTCTGGTGACAAACGGGATAATTGCCTTCGGTTCTAACTATCCCGTCTTAGGTTCCACGTGTCACTCTCTTAAGCGGCCACTTAGCATAGCATATTTTACCCTATACATGAGGCACAATATTGAATCATTATATGATCTCGATCCAAATTCGGGTTAATTTTTTTTTTTTCCTTCTCAACTTGGGTCAATTATGTTGAGATAACCTGGTTAAATAAATGTAATAATCTAACCCATCCATTGATAACCCAACTCGCTGNTATATATATATATATTACTTCATTGAGAGAGAAATGTATAGAAAGAGAAATGTTATATTACTTGAGCAAAGAATGGTAGGAACATCAATAAATGAAAAATAATTGCTGCAAGATATATGGTTATATACAATAATCATGGAATAATTTGCTCGAAACAACAATAACGCTAGTAGTAATAACATGTCAAAAGAAGAATAATGACAATAATAATAAATATAAAAAAGAAATACAAAGTTTATTTGCTTTATAAGTTGGTACTTGGAAGTTGGAAGTATTACACCGAATTTCCTCCATTTTAAAAGATACCCATGAACTTTCTTTTAATTTATTAATATTATTACCATCATTTGCCGCGACCATAGTGGATTATTCATGTACCGATTGAGCGTCAAAGTGGAAAGAGAAAGCCTTAATTAGCCTAAACAGTAGCTAGAAGCCTTCACGGCATTGAATTATAGTTCTGTCATTTTCGAAAGTGCATGGATAACCGCCATTTTTTTCTTTCACAAAGTTTTCGTGAAGTTGCTTGCAAATCAAAGTGTGAATATCCTTTCAAGTGTTGTGTTGTTTGGTTGCCAAACGTTAGAAAGGAGCAAGAGGTGGAAAAATAAAAGACAGATATTAGTAAAATAGCATAACAATAGGGCATAAATATTATAATGATACCAATGGAACTTTAAATAAGTGATGAATTTTTTTGTAAAGTATGTTATTATTACTCTTATTAGAGAATTATACATACAGGTGGTTCAGCAGCTATATACTAATAATAATTATTATTATTCTACTATTATATAATTATAGTACCATTATCATATTATCGTGTGGCCACGGTTGGCGGATGTTGCACTATTACATCATAGTCTATTTCATGATCATGAAGATAAAGCCAAATAAATAGGAATGGTTTGAGTATTAGAAAATCATTGCTTCAAAGACAAAAACATCATGGAATATTCGAAATTGGTTATACATGAGAAGACAAAAAGAATGATATAGGTGAATGAATAATAATTTAGATAAAATATATAATATCGCCAGACAAATCACAATATTGTTAGAATAGCTATTCTACAATCAAAAATACTACTATGATTTAATGGTCAATGTAATGAGTTGAGAATTATAAAGTCTTACGTTCAACTTTAAGTGGAGACAAAAATACAAGATGATTTCTTCCTATCGGGGTAGACAAATTTTCCAGTACTCGTACTGATGGGAGATAATAAATACATCATATGAAATTACGAAGATGCACACAAATTAGTCTGCACACCATAATTATAAATACATTTTGAATCTTGATTGTTACTCCACTATAGGACTAAAGAAACTCTTAGAAAAATGCTAGTTAATTGATATTAATCTGTTGTATTAGTAGTTGTGACTTTCTAAAATTAAAGTCATATAAAAATGAACAGAGTGAATAACGTTAGTTAAGATATCACTGAATGAAAATCGTAATAATTGACAATGCCAGTAACGAAGTATTAAAAATAGATATTAATGTTGTATGAAAAAACTGACTTCGAGATCAACTTTTATGGAAGCGTGACTTGAATTTATATTAAGTACTACTATATTTATTTCCTTTCTTTTCTTTAAATAAATATATTGCAATTATCATTGACTGGTTCATTATGAGGCAATACCTGCAAACAAAAATAATCGAATTTTGCAACAAAAACAAATACACCTCTAAAGGAAAATGACTGGGGAAAAAAATGTATAGTAAATTAGGTAAGGTAGGTTTGAATTTTATACTGATAAACAAGACCAGAAAATTTGTGATGGAATTTTTTTTTATATGACAACACGATGCACAAGGTATTTTGCGTTTATGCAGAATTCGCCAAAAAGTCCCATTATAGGGGATGATGTAGACAGTCCAACCTATGCAACCATTAGCTCGAACCCGTAACCTGTAGGTTACACGAAGATAATTCTACCGTTACTCCAAAGCTTTACTTGACTGAAAAAAAAGTGTAAACATATGAAAAAAAGTGTAAACATATGAATTCATCTTGTACTGAAAAGTAAAATCATATTATATGAATAGCACTATTAATGGATCCAGAAATTGCTAATAGGGGCATCCAATGTTGTTGATCCAATAATTGACTTTGTTTAACACTTAACTTTTTTTGCTGACCAATGCAACAGACATACCATATGTAATTTTTTTTTTGCCAAAACCCATGAAACCTTTGCTCAACATTTTGCGATGTCTAAGGCAATCATGTGCCTAAGTTCGTTGTATATATTAGGTACAGTAATTTATATCCAATGTGGGGCTTCTTTATTTTGTCTCTTGCTTGTCACAACCTATAGAATTTATTGAAGGGTGAATTTGGTCTCATATCGAATATTTTCTTTTTGGGGAGGAACAATATTTATGTGGAATATCTTTTATTTTAGAAAATTATTTTTTAGATCACTTTTACGACGACTCAAAATTAGGTCAGCAACGATAAGGAACAGAAACTCGACTCTTTGTGCTCTAATATTCGACAGAATTCTCCGTGCCAGAGCAACATGCGTATGAACCACATAACTAATCGGTCAGATCATCATGTGCAACTATCATACAATCACAAGTTCAAACCAATGCAACAATCAACCATAGAACATAATCCATATTCATTGACATGATAACAACTAATTCTAAATCAACTACATAGCTCGTACAATTTCGCAACATAATTTCAAAATTTGACATTACAAGCAATTATAGAGTGTAAGAAACAATACATTAGTTCGACTAAACATAAAAGAAAGTCTAACCCTCGCAAATAAGATACATGGCTAATTATCAGTCTCTAAGCCCCGGTTTAGCCATAGACTTGGGCTTCATTTTTTAAAAAAAAAAAAAAAAATTGATAACATTATTTGTTTATGAAATATGATCATGTATTGAAAAAAAAAATTCAAAAATTTTCAAGTTCCCAAAAACTGGTTTAGGGCAGTTTTTTGGGTGAAATATTTTCTTACACTCATAAAACTTTAACTTTTCTTCAAATAAAATGCATGTCCAAGCACAACTTCAAAAACTCTTTTTTCTGAATCAGCTTCAACATTGCAACATACAATACATATAAAATGAGGTGTTAGTCATCGGTATTCAGTGAAGGATAACATAATCCATATAATTGTTCAACACAACAACAACAACAACGACCCAATGAAATTTCATTAGTGGGGTTTGGGGAGGGTAGTGTGTATGCAGACCTTACCCCTATCCCGAGGAGGTAGAGAGACTGTTTCCGAGATACCCTCGACTCAAGAAGACAAAAAGAAGGCGAAAAGAGGCAATCTATTAGTACCTTCAATAGAAACCATAAAACAAAGAACACCATCACCAGAACCAGAAAATAAGTGAAAAACAAAATAATAACCAGTAGATAAAGCACATCAAAGAGGAACGAAAAAGTAGTGTGAACTCAACATAAACCACTAACAGTCAAAGACCAAGCCCTAATAGACTAGCCTCACTCTGCGGCGCCATAGAGATATTCCCAACTACCTCCTAACCTACAACCTTAATGCTCGATCTCCACAACTTCCTGTCTAGGGCCATGTCCTCGATAATTTGAAGCCTCACCATGTCCTGTCTGATCACCTCTCCCTAATACTTATTAGGTCGCCCTCTAACTCTCTTCATGCCCACCAAAGCCAGTCGCTTACACCTCCTCACCATCACATTTGGGCTTCTCCTCTAGACGTGCCCGAACCATCTGAGCCTTGCTTCCTGCAGCTTGTCATCCATGGGGGCGACACCCACCTTCTCCCGAATAACTTCATTCCTAATCTTATACATCTTGGTGTGCCAACACATCCACCTCAACATCCTCATTTAAGCTATTTTCATCTTTTGGATATATGAGTTCTTAACTGGCCAACACTTAGCCCCATACAATATGGCTGGTCTAACCACCGCTCTATAAATTTGCCTTTGAGAATCTGAGGCACTTTCTTGTCACACAGGACTCCAGACGCTAACCTCCACTTCATCCACCCAACCCCTATACGGTGTGTGACATCCTTGTTGATCTCCCTACCCCCCTGAATAACCGACCCAAGGTACTTGAAACTGTCCTTCTTAGGGATGACTTGTGAATCAAGCCTCACGTCCAATCCCACTTCCGTCGGCTCAGCGCTGAACTTGCACTCTAGGTACTCCGTCTTAGTCCTGCTCAACTTGAAACCTTTAGGCTCAAGGTTCTGTCTCCAAACCTCCAGCCTCTCATTGACGCCGCATCGCGTCTTATCAATCAGCACTATGTCATTAGCAAATAGCATACACCATAACACCTCTCCTTGAATATGGCGTGTCAGTACATCCATTACCAGAGGCAAAAAGGAATGGGCTGAGCAGAGACCCTTGGTGTAACCCCATAATAACCGAAAAATGCTCCGAGTTGCCTCCCACTGTCCTAACCCGAGTCTTAGCTCCATCATGCATGTCCTTAATCACCCTAATGTAAGCAACCAACACACCTTTTGCCTCCAGGAACCTCTATAGAACCTCTCCAGGAACCTTGTCATAGGCTTTCTCCAGATCAATAAACACCATGTGCAAATGCTTCTTCTTTTCCCTGTATTGTTACACCAACCTCCGAATAAGGTGGATAGCTTCCGTGGTAGAACGCCCCGACATGAACCCGAACTGGTTGTCTGAAATCGATACCATCCTCCTCACTCTTACTTCTACTACCTTCTCCCAAACTTTCTTGGTATGACTCAGTAATTTGATACCCCTATAGTTGTTATAACTCTAGATATCACCTTTGTTTTTGTACAACGGCATCACCGTACTCCACATCTACTCCTCCGACATCCTCTTCACTCTGAAAATAATATTAAACAACCCAGTCAGCCACTCTAAGCCTGCTTTACCCACACACCTCCAAAATTCTATCGGGATTTAGTCTGGTCCGGTAGCTCTGCCCCTGCTCTTACGCATAGCCTTCACGACCTCCCCAACCTTGATGCACCTATAATACCTAAAGTCATAATGACTCTCGGAATGCCCCAATTCACCTAACACAATATCTCGTTCCCCTTCTTCATTCAGAAGTTTATGAAAGTAGGTCTGCCACCTCCGCTTAATTTGATCATCCCCCATCAACACTCTACCGTCCACGTCTTTAATTTACCTCACTTGATCCAGATCCCGAGCCTTTCTCTCTCTCGCCTTGGCCAGCCTAATAACTTCTTCTCCCCGCCTTTGGTCCCCAGGCCGTCGTACAGACGAGCAAAAGCTGTATTTTTAGCCTCCGAAATCGCCAGCTTCGCCTCCTTCCTAGCTACCTTATACCTCTCACTATTCGCTCTTCTCTCCTCCTCGCTAGTGCTCCTTACTAGCTTCAGGTACGCTGCCTTATTCGCTTTCACTTTACCTTGGACCATAATTCATTCCACCACTAGTCGCCTTTATGACCACCAGAGTAGCCCACCAAGACCCCTAACACCTCTCTGCTGCCTTCCTTATACAATCTGCCGTCCACCACATAATGCTCGTGTCTCCACTACTCCTCCAAGCTCCCATAGCCGCTAACCTCGCTTCCAACTCTTGAGCTTTATCCTTAGTCAAGGCACCCCACATGATCCTCGGGCGTCCTCGTAAAGACCTTTTCTTCCTCCTTATCATAATACCGACGTCCATCACCAATAGCCTATACTGCGTCGCGAGGGTCTCACTGGGGATAACCTTGTAATCCTTGCACAACCCTCTGTCACATATTCTAAGGAGGAGATAGTCAATTTGCTTCCTCACCATCGTGCTTTGGAAAGTAACTAAATGCTCATCCCTTTTCGGAAAACTCAAGTTAGCAATCACAAGCTCAATTGCCTTAGCGAAATCCAGTAGCGAGGTACCTCCTCCATTTCGATCCCCAAAGTCGAAGCCGCCATGCACCTCACTGTAGCCACCTACAAACGACCCAATATGCCCATTGAATTCCCCTCCTATAAATAACCTCTCGGCAGGCAGAATATTACGCACAATCTTATCCAACCCCTCCTAGAAGCGCCTTTTAACCTCCTCATCCAAGCTTTCTTGCGGCGCGTAAGCACTAATGACATTTAGGGTACACTCACCAACCACCACCTTAATAGTCATTAGTGTATCATTCACCCGCCTAACCTCTACCACAAACTCTCTAAGATCCCTATCGACCAAAATACCCACTCCATTCTTACCCCCCAGGACTCCAGTGTACCATAACTTATACCCATCAATATCCCTCGCCCTCGATCCTACCCACCTAGTCTCCTGGACACACGCTATATTAACCTTCCTCTTTTGGAGGATCCTAGCAGACTCTATAGACTTACCCGTCAATGTGCCTATGTTCCATTACCNCGCCACACCCCTTACCCCTCCCGAGGACATGACCTTACTCTATCATCCCAAACTGCAACCACTATACCTACAACAGGCTAAGAAAGAATCACTAGCACACAATATGCAACGAACTAAACTAGAAACAAACAAGTAGAAACTACAAGCACACTAGTAGTATGAGTAAACTAATGCAAACTAAAAATGACTACAGTTTAAGTCACCCCAATTGGAGGGTAGATGAACGGGAGGTACCAACTCCCGAGAATATAACCTGAAATTGTCTTGGTGTACTTGATGATGTTGTGGCACCTGGCACGTTCGCGTCTAACTTCCTATCGCCCCTTGCTGACGCTTGCCCCGACTGCTCTCCTATGCTTGTGCTTGCGCTTCCCGCTCGTNGGGAGGGGCTGTCACCGCTACCACTGGTGAAGCCCAACTGTGGCAAAAAAAGGGAAGAAGGGAACACCTATAGTAATAGTGAACTTATAGAACTAGATGTTACTCAAATGAGTAACATCATAATATATACTCCATATAGTTAGGGACCATCTCCTTTTATTTGTCCTAAAAAAGAAATTAGATAGAGAAAAAAAAAAGGCAATACCGGCATGTAAAAATATTAGGACTTAAGACTATTATATTCTCCAAAATGAAATCACACCATTTTCTCTAACTGCTTCAATTTTACATCATAGCATGACTAAATAGTCTCTTAAGTTCAATTTTCTCTATTATTAGACTAATTATATATAATAATAGTAGCAAATTGATAGATAAAAACAGACAATTCCAAATGTCACACTCCATAAAATAAGATCAATTTGCGGAGTCACATTGAATTAAGGGTGTCAAGCGATACCCCTTCTCCAAAAAATTATATTATATTGTTAGATATTTTTTATTTTATTTTATGTATATTTACTATACGTTGACTTTTCTTGACTTTTCATTGTATCTAATTATTTATATTCTTTGATGAAAATTCTGGCTCCTCCACTGGAAGCAATAGAACAGTAATAATAACATAATCAGTGTGTTCTCACAAGTGAATCTCGAGAGGGTAAAGTATATACAAACTTTATTTTTACTTTGTGTGAGTAAAAGAGTTGTGTTCGATAGATAATCGACTAAAGAAGCTGACTTAATAAATAAATTAAAATATTTAAGATCTTTTCTAGTATGTTGAATAGTCTAAAAAAACAAAAAATAATTAGGTGCATGTATAATGATATACAACTGTGCGCGCTTTGACTGTCACCACCAAAAAAGAGGGTCTCATTTTCCTAGGCGCAAAATAGCACCGCCCACTGTGTTTTCACACTGCCACAACAATTACTGAACACACACACTCTCAGTTCAGGGGTACTTTTGGCACTTTATTAAAAGGTTCCCCGATCACACCTTCTCCATTTTGTCCTCTTATCTTTTAGTGCTCCACTTTTTCTCTATGAATTACCTAAAATACCCTTGATTTCTCCTCCTTACCTCAAGATCTTGTTCTTATTATTTCCTCCCTTCCCTAACATAGTTTCATTTTTAGTTTGTTCCAAAATAAATATCACATTTTTTAATTTTAAAAAGTTTAACTTTAAACTTATTTATTTTATATATTTATTCTTAAGAAAAAACTTTTATAGCTATAAAAATACCATGACCCACAAACTTTTTAACATTATAAGTTACAACTTTCAAAAGTTTTTTTCAAACTTTTTAACATTAACCTTTTAAAGTTACAACTTTCAACAGTTTTTTTTTTTTTTTTTTTTTTTTTTTTTTTTTTTTTTTTTTTTTTTTTTTTTTTAAGTTTGAGTCAAACTAGCTTATATAGTATATGAAACGGAGGGAATACTACATTTTTTTCTTTGGATCCTTCTCTTTCTAATAATACACATAGATATATGTGTGTGTTTTGGAGCTATATTTGGTAATGGGTCACTGAGCATTTTGTGTAAAGGTGGAATCTTGATTTGTTGAATGACATTTCATTTGGGTTAAGTGTTAAAATGTATGAAACAACCCATTAAAACAAAGTTTTTCTTGAGCTTTTGCTTTAATCTTTTTGGTCTGTACAAACCCTTTTGCTCTATTTCTCTAAAAAAGTGATCTTTTGTGTTTTTCTTGACTAAAAGAGGTTTCTTGATGATGAAAACAGTGAGGTTTTACTGATTAGTCAGTTGGGTTGTGTTATTCAGCTTGTTGGGTTTGTCTGTTTCAAGATTTGGGAGCTCATTTTAAAGATCTAAGAATTTGGTTGCTGAAGCAATTGGAGTTGCAAGAATGAAGTCTAGTGCAAGACTTGACTCAGTTGTTTTTCAGCTCACTCCTACTAGAACTAGGTATATTTTTACATGGTTATAGCTAGTTTACTCAAAATATGTTATCTTTATTTGGTTTATATTTCATGTAATAGTGTTTTCAGATTGGTTTATTGTTGTGTGTATACATGGATGTGCATTGATCTTTGTGGATTTTTAGAGTATGTACTTATCAGGTTTAGCATTGATTGTGTAAAATCCAATTCAATGTTTGTTTGGATAACATTCGTATTGCTCTAGTCTTGATAAATGTCTTTTCATTCTACAATATTTTTTTTTCCTGGAATTGGCATTTCTCTCTTAGTTACTTTTTAGTTGTAATGCATAATATTGGTATGAGTGAGTTTAAATGGAATACCATGGTTAGTGACAATTCATATAGCTGACCCCAACTTGTTTTGGATTGAGATGTAGTTGTTGTTGACGTCTTCCTCTTAGTTACCAGTGGAAGGGAATTGACATTACTTTCTAATTGTTAAAGGAGTTGAAATCTTGATTTTATGTGAATCCTGCACCAAAATTAATTTCCTCTCTGGCTAGTTTGGCTTTTATGCAAACCGAAAATAGCTGGTGTAGTGACATCTACGCTTGCAATTTATCTCTCTACTTTTCTCTTCGTTAGAGTTTGGGGAGTATTCTTTGGCTTGTGCATAGCTTTACTTAAACACATAGTGAGAGTGGAGCTGTGGAAATTCTTGCTACTGATATAGATTTAAATGTCTTATTGTTTTCAGGTGTGATTTATTCATTATAGCCAATGGCAAGAAGGAGAAACTAGCTTCTGGTTTGCTGAATCCTTTTCTTGCTCACTTGAGAACTGCTCAGGATCAAATTGCAAAGGGTGGCTATTCAGTTTTGCTGGAACCAGATGCTCATGTCGATGCTTCATGGTTTACAAAGGGCACAGTGGAAAGGTTTGTAGTAAAACCTAGTGGTGTCCTTATGTACTCTTACATGTTAATTAGCATATCAATGGGAATGTTTCCTGGGATAGTCCAAGTCCAATCCTCTAAGGCAGGCGATCTTTTTGCAAAGGCATAAACTTTTTATTTATGTATAATTTTTTACTGAAATGGTTGGAACCTTCTCTAGGGACAATTCATATTTTTGCAAAGCAAGAAAAGAAAACTTTTGCAATTTAATAGGCTTTTTTTATGCATAGCCAGCAAGCAAAACCAGAAATTACGTATGTAAACATGTAGCATACTTCACACCCCATAACATGAAGCTGCTCTGGCAGGTCCTACTAATTCTGAGAAAGATTAAAAAAGAGAATAAGGGCGTGATAATAATGTGCAAACAAATTAGGCCAATGTTTCCTTTTTTTGTTTTGTTTTGTTAATACCGAATTGGTGTAATGTTTCTTTCTCTTAACAGGTTTGTCCGTTTTGTGAGCACTCCGGAGATCCTGGAAAGGGTGTACACCATAGAATCTGAGATCTTGCAGATCGAGGAAGCAATTGCCCTTCAGGGACACAATGATATTGGTATAGGGCCAGTAAGTATTTCCTGACTTCAGTCATTTCATGTGTCATGGAGTGTCAAGATGTTAGTCCAACAATTTTTATTTCTTCAACAGGTTGAACACAAAGAAGCAAAACCAGCTGGAAATTTTGCAGGTACTTCAGAGTGAAAAACTTGTATCATTGTTGACCGAACAAAAGCCCAGTTCGTTTTCTTTTTTCTTCTCATCATCACTTAGGCGAATGATGCACCTCGCGATCAAGATGTTGTAAACTTTTTGGTCCTGGTTTCTTGGTTAACTTAACTATTTCCTCTTTAGTCTTTTGTTTCTTCCATTGCCGCATTGATTGGATCCTCCATTTACAAGAAATGCTACTCCGATATAGATCCCTAGATTATGCAATTATCTTACCTTACTTTTGTCAATAATCTAACAGTGGGCTTTATCCTCTAATGTTATGTGGAATTGCTAGTTTATGATACAAGATACTGAAAAATAGTGAAATTTGGACAGGTACTAAATCTACAGCATATGTCAGCGAGGAGAAAGCTATTGTCCTTTACAAGGTGACTGGGCATCTTCTATTCTTTCAATTGTTGCGCATATTATGACTTTTTCCTGATCTGGTTTATGTTTCGTGCAGCCGGGGGAAAATCAACCTCAGACAAATGGGTCAGGTTGTCAGGAAGAAAATTCAAGGTATAGTAGTCTGACAGATCATTTAAGCATATTTTTCTGTTCCTGGAAGTTATACTTGTATCTGTGGTTTCACTTCAGAATTCCATGGACAGAGATTTGTTGATGACGATTAATCAACTAGAACTACTCAATCAGATTTCTTTTTGCACCTTTGTCCCCGTTTGTTGTTGTCATAATGTAAAGATAAATCAGTGATATCACTATGGACAATTGGAAAGAACTAGGATTTCTCTTTTTGATAAAGTTGAAAGCAGGATTTCTAACTTAGCACGGCAAGTTATATCTCTTGGTTGTTTGGAAATATTTTTATGCATCTCTTTATAAAAAAAGTATATTAGTTTCTCGCATCCGGTTCATTGTAAGCTGGTGTACCAGCTGGTTAAAAGCAATATAAATTCCTACATTGGCTTCCTTTTGACTGCTACACGTAATGTCACAAAAGAAGGCCGCCCTCATAAGACCGAGAAAAACAAAGAGAAAAGAGGAAAAGGAAAAACAGAAAACTGTAAGAGTAGATGTTTTTAATATTTTGCTTATCCATTGATAAAAGTGCAGACGTACATCTTATTATGATTTTTAACATTTCAGTCAACCCAGTTTCTTTATGTTCTGTTGGCTAGTTAAAATTCAATAACATTTCTTGATAATTGTATTTCTATCCTTGTTAACTGTCGTCCACTTAAAATCTATGCCATGAACAGCACCGCCTTAGTTTGCATATTTGTGTGCATATTATGTGGGTGAGTTCAATTTTCATAGCCATAATGTAGTTGGCATTAGAGCTAATAGCCTCTTAACCTATATAGGAGTCAAAGTAAAGACATAAGTGTCAAAAAAATAAAGTATTGACATAAGTTACTTGCCGAAAGAAAAAACATTGACATAAGCTGTTTGGCACCATCATTTGATCATGTTACTGAAGTTATCTTCTGTTCGTTTCATTTTCATATGCCTAATTAAAGAATCTCCGGATAAGTGGACTTGCTCAGAGCTTGTAACATGTATGAAGAGCCAGAATTTTCAAGTTTAGTAATAGATCCAATTGCATTTTGATTGATTTGTCTTCTTATTCAGAGTACAGCTTTTGAAGGTCTTGGAGACTCGCAAGTCTGTGCTTCAAAAAGAACAAGGAATGGCATTTGCACGTGCTGTAGCTGCTGGTTTTGATATTGATCGCATGGCACAGATGGTATCATTTGCTGAGTCTTTTGGTGCATCACGCTTAAAGTAAGCAACTAGCAGCAACTTCTAGTTCCCTTTGTTGGAATAAACATCGCTTATTTTTTGTTTGCATTCAAATCAAAGTATTAGCAGAATCACAAATCACAAATAAACGGTTACTTGCAATCACCATTGCTAAAACAGTTATATATGTGGCAGAGATGCATGTGTACGATTTATGGAACTGTGGAAGAAAAAGCATGAAAATGGACAATGGGTTGAAATTGAAGCTGCTGAAGCAATGGCGAATCAATTAAACATTGCTGCAATGAATGCATCTGGAATTCTTCTATCTAATATTGCTAATAAGCAGTTTGATTCCAACGCTGAGATGGCTTCTGAGAATTATGTGAAATCAAGCGCAGATAGTAATTCAGGTAACGAAGCAAATCCTATGAAGGGTACTCTGTTATAACTTGCCTTTCATATAGGCCGCATCCGGGCAAGGTCATATTATTTGCAAATATTAACATACATTCTTCAAGTCATCAAGGTTATAGTTTCTATCTCTTTTTTGCCATGAAAAACGTTCATTCAGTTGGGGATGCTTTCAGTTCTGACCTTGGATATACTCTTATTGTTTATGAGTATTGAATAGGATGATTTAGGTATGTATATTCTTCTACAACATGTGCTTTCTTGAGAGAGTTGTGATATTTTTGTCATATTCTTTGGCAATATAGGGGAAAGGCCTCCATTTGATCAACAAA